AGTCAACCAATCATTTTATCCCCTACTCCGTGCCAACAGCAAGAGCAAACATCTCAAAATATTATCCGTAACATCAATCGCATCCTCAACACATCAACAAATTTTCTGATAGATTCATCCAATCATGTCTCACGTCAAACAAACAAAATTATGTGATTGCATGAACTGCACTCCCTGCAAGAATAACAATTTTATATAACAGCATTTGTTACCCAAAACATTTTGTAAAATCTATTTCGTATAACAAATATTGTACATAATGTTTTGTGCATAATGTTTTGTGCAACATATCGTAGCAGCAAAGTAATTTGTTTGATAGAAGAAAACAAGAGCAAATACATTTTCCCGATTTTTCGCATGAGTAATTCTGCATAAATTGGCTAATAATATCGGCGGAAAACGCGATTTACGACCAAAGAACGAGGGAAATAAATAGGAAAGCATGTTGCAACATCATCAAATCACGGGAAGATTGGTCTCAAACTGAATTCTGCTGTTATGTAAATGATGAACTTTTTGTGAATAATTATGAATGCTTGCTTTCTGCCTATAAAAATTGTTCTGCAAATTGGAATATTTTTACAACTGATTTCATTTTCTACGGACGTTTGTTTATTTATTCTCATTCAACAAAACGTTTTTAAACGAGAGATGTAAATAGTAGCAATCACATTCTGCAGATGAGTCCATCACAATGAACAGCGCAAAAACATTTTTGTTATCAGTACTCTCCTACAAAGCAAGCAATTCAGCGTCTTTTGTTTAAATTTTTCTGTTAATCTTCTCTTCGCCAAATTTCATTTAGAATAATTGTCAGCGGAGGTCAAATTGATTTAAATTTTGCGTTAGAATGTCACCGCGTTTTTTCTTTCAATAAGTTTTCATTCACTCACAACATTTTCGTTTTTTAGTGCAATCTGGGTTTTTCACGTTCATTTTTGTTATCTCTGGTAAAATAGAAAGCAAAATAAAAAAATAAGTATCATTCTCTAGTCTGTTGTTTTGTGATGATATGTGGTAGTGGTTATGCCATTGTTGTAATGAGTTATGTAGTGTCGTTGTTTTGTTTTGCGCTATGTTGTGTTGCGTTACGTTATGACAGTTTATGTTAAGACAAGTATCAACACGTAGTGATCTCACGGCATGTTCTGTTTTTTTTTTATAGTTGAATGTATTTCCACATCAAATCATTTCATCGTCATTATATCACCCAACTAACTGTTAGACCATGACATAAACACATCACCAGAAAACAATCACATTATCCCTTCATCAAAGAACATTCACTTAATCGCATTATCAAACTGCTACATCAACTTCATCTTATCACATTGAATTACATTACATCGTCGCATCATTACATCGTTAAATTTTAGCATCGTCATCTCATTACAACATCGAGGCGCGCAAACAAAAAATATTGTATCCCAAACTTTTTGAAAATTTGCTGCATTTTGATTTAATTACAATTATTTTAATTTAATAATATAATTTTATAAATTTCTGAATGAATAAATTTCAAATAAAAATAGTTTCTGAATAAATTTTTTCCTCGAAAAATTCGCTAAAAGTTCTTTAAATGTGGCGTTATATTTAAATGTAGCTGAATGAGTTAATTAACGAAGTGATGTTTATTACTTCCGCCTTTTATAGTCGTCTACCTACCTACCTACCTACATGCCTGCTCGAATTTCGTTTCAAATACGGTTCACATGCGACTGCGTGTGATTGTCCGCATCTACGTGCAGTGTGCTGCTTTAATGGACCGCATGTGGACTGTGTATGTATGTGTATGTATGCTTGTGGATGTCTGTGTGTGTGTGTGTGTGTGTGTAACTCTAATATGCTGTGCGTGTGATCGTGTGTGTAAACAGTTCATTGAAAATTTCCAAATGAAAAAATAAAAATTTTCAATGATGTCACTCTTCGTAAAATTTTTACAATTCAAATTTTTAACAATTTTTTCTATTGGCCATATCCAAACGCATCAAATTAAAGCGAAGTACGCGATGAAATTTGTTTGGAACATTGTCCACATTTGTAACAAAAATTTCAAATATTTTTCGCAATTTTTCATAAATAACCACAAATTGTTGTAATTCATTTTTCCAAATAAACCAAACAACAAAAACGTGGCATGTAAAGGAAAAAGTTTTGTTGTTTGCAGCGGGACGTGTATGTGCTCTGCTGGCCGACTGCACGCAGACATGTAAGAAGGATGGCTCATTTTATTTTCACACCCCACTTACATCCTAGGTCTCTATGCCATATATTCTTTATAGCCCATTTTTGTGTTTGTGCTTTTGCAATCAAACGAAAGATATTTCATTTTGTTGTTCTTGTGTTGTACCAGTTCACTGGTTCCTGATTTCATTTTTTTTGTAGTAATAAAATAAAAGCCAGTAACGATTGAAACGCTCTTTTCAAGCCCATTAATTTACTTATTTTTAAAGTTCGTATTGGTAAACATAAATTATCGTTCGTACGTTTTCATCAAGTCGGGATTTACGATGCAAAATGAAAAAGTTTTTTTGGAGTTTTTTTTATTCAATAATTTACGCGGTTTATCTTCATTTGTTGCTGGGCTCTTTATCTTCCAGTGTTCTGACGTGAAATCGTTCTTGCTCATTCCAGGCTGCTGTTTGGCGGTTGGTTGGTTGGCTGGTTGGCTGGTTGGTTGGTTGGCTGGTTGGTTGGTTGGCTGGTTGGCTGGTTGGTTGGCTGGTTGGTTGGCTGGTTGGTTGGCTGGTTGGTTGGTTGGCTGATTGGTTTGGTTGAGTGGTTGGTTGGTTGGTTGGTTGGTTGGTAGGTTAGCTAGCTGGCTGGTTGGTTGCTTGCTTTGAAGTTTGAATGTGGTTCGGTTTTGTCGAAATTCGTTATGATTTATAAATAGAGCTATCTTCGTTATAAGATTGAAACTTTAAATTATTATAATCTATTCATCCAAAAACTGCAAACGCGTCAAATTTTCTAAACAGTTTTGTCATTGAAATTAGATTGGAAATGTAAACCTTAACTTAAATTTGTTACTTTCCGAATGCTTCTAGAAAAATGTAAACTTAACTTCAATAACCGAATGTTATAAATAGTAGCTACACTAGAGAAATACAATGTTTAACATCATATTATTATTATTATTATTATTATTTTTATTATCAAAAGATTTATCTAGTGCTAGTTAGTTAAAATTAAAAAGCGCCATCAAAAAATAAAATCATATGTACCTACAATGTTTAACATCATACGTGCCTTCCTCTGAAATTTCACAATTCGAATCCAGTTATCATCATCTCGTCTTACAACTTTGTTCCTGTGAGGTACATTGCAATCTTTAAAAAGCTTTCAAATCGTTAGCACAAGATACTGAACTCAATAAACTTATTTGTCGCATCAGATGTCTGCCTAACAAAATTTTCAACAGCCAAGAAAGGAAACAAGCTCAACAAAAATTGTGAAAATTAATTTGATCTGTAAATTTTTTAAAAAATAAAAATTATTAATTTAATTTTTTATTTATATTTTAAATTTAGAAATACGTGATAAAGTTTCAAAATCTCTCTATAATAGCTTCCTTATACATTATGCAATATCTCAACATTTTAACCAACCATGTTTCAATTATGTATACAAAATGTGGTTTTATAACACATCTTATCTTCAAGAGGAACAGAAAATAATTCATCATAGCTACACTAACTATTCCAACCACAAAAATAATTGTATTAAAATAAATCAACAACAACAACAGCGCTATAAGTATCCTGAAAAATAAATTTCATTCATATTTCAATATTTTAATTACATTGACTGAAAAACTCACAACAAATAAGTATGTTTGGTTGGCAATTTGCGTAATTTTAAGAAATAAATATTTTTAAAAATACATCAACAAAACCTCTGAACGTACGTTGCATGTTATGTTACATGTTGTATAACATGTTGCATGTTGTGTCGCACGTTGCGTGTTATGTTGTATGTTGAGTTACATGTTCTGTCTCATGTCATGTTGCGCGTTTTGTTGCATGTTGCACGCACGAAGTAATAACAAGGAAGCAATGAAAGTTGAAAAGATTTCAACGCTCTCCTTACATCATCATAAATTTAATGCTTGAAATGAACAGAAAAGTCAGAGACTTGCTGCTCTGCCGTCTTTAAATCATTCAAATGGGTGATGAGATCTGATGATGAAGATGAATATGGCGGTAATGATGACAAATGGAGATGATGAAATGGAGATGATGACGACGCAAGGATAATTATAATAATAATGATGATGATGAAGTTGATGGTGATGTTGATGATGGGATTTGTCGATGCAGCGATGATGATAATGATGATTGTAATTATTATTACGATGACAATGGTGATGAAAATCGATTTAGATGATGTTAACAATAAGGATGAATTGACTGCAAAAATAGTTTATTTTCATTTAACTTGGTGATGTTTTTAAAAGTACTGAGAAAAGACGAGAAGAAAAAAATGTTGATAATACTGATCATGAATACTTAATACTAATAATAATAACAACAATAATAACTTATTACTGATGATGACGATGAATAACAACGTAGATATATGTGACAGCGTGTTGGATATGAACCACACATGTTGGATGTGGACCACACACTAGCCATACATGTTGCTCCAATTTGTGCAATTATGCACTAACTAACGTGTGTGTGTATATGTGTGTGTGTGTGAGTGTGTGTGTGCGTGCGTGAGTGTGAGTGTGTGTGTGTGTGTGTGTGTGTGTGGTGTGTGATTAAGTTTCTCCATTTTCAGTAAGATGATTGCACGTTTCGCATTTTTTCATTCATTAGAGGGAGGAGGGCGAGCGGTTCGATATTTGAACAATTGCAGCAGCAATCGATGAGATTGTCGAGGTAGTTGGAAGTGCTTTAAAACGTCGTTACAGTGCTGGTGTGTTGTCATGTCGTTGGGGTATTTTATATCACTGTTACATATTGTTACAGAATGTTACTGTTACAGAATGTTACATGTTACAGAATGTTACTGTTACAGAATGTTACATGTACAGAATGTTACATGTTACAGAATGTTACATGTTACAGAATGTTACTGTTACAGAATGTTACATGTTGCAGAATGTTACATGTTACAGAATGTTACATGTTACACAATGTTACATGTTACACAATGTTACATGTTACAGAATGTTACATGTTACAGAATGTTACATGTTACAGAATGTTACTGTTACAGAATGTTACATGTTACAGAATGTTACATGTTACAGAATGTTACATATTCGAGCCGTTCTTGATTCTGAAAAGTATTTTACAGATTTTAAAAACAAAAGAACAATTTTCATGATTACAAGACACTCAAATGAATTAAAATTACGAAAATATTTTTTTTAGAGTTAAAAATTGAAATCAATTTCAATTATTTAGCATCCCTATGTTACAGGTATAAAAATGACGAATGTAAACATATTCAAGTCTCGTAACTAATAAATCATTTCAATGAAGTTTAGTGTGTGTGCCTGCTTGCACTCTTGTGTATGTTTGTGTGCCTACACGTCTGTATGTGTGTATGTTTGTATGTCTACACGTCTGTATGTGTGTATTTGTGTATGTTTGTATGTTTACATCGTTGTATGCTTGTATTTTTATACGTGTATGTTTATACGTCTGTGTGTGTATGTTTGTATGATGTTTGCATGTCTGTATGTTTGTATGTCTACACGTCTGTATGTGTGTATGTTTGTATGTTTACACCGTTGTATGTTTGTATACGTACACGTTTGTGTTTATATGTTTATACTTTTGAATGTTTGCACTTTCGTATCTTTGTATTTGTTAATTTTAACATTTTTGTCAGCCTGATCTTTTGAAACTTTGTATTTTTGCACGTTAAAACGTTCATCAATCAGCCACTTTCATATTGACGTTCTTGTGTTGTCGTGAAAACATGCATGCCTTCGTTCGTATAAATTAAAGCTGATTGAAATAAATTTTAATCTAAAAAAGTCATCTCCGAGAAAGATGAGATGCTAACGCCGAAGCAACAAACAATTAAAAGTGACAAGAGGAGCTATAAATCATGCGACAGATACGCTAATATACATAAATGCATGCATATCTGTGTTGCGTATATTCATTTGTATGTGTGAATACGTACGTACGCACATGCATACATACACGTACAGATAAACATACGCGCGCACATACAAACATACCAACATTCATACATACACGTATACAAACGTAAACAAACACGCTCACAGGAAAATTCAAACGCGCAAGTATTATACAGAGTGTAGTAGCACGTGCATCATTGTCTGATCGTTTCATGACAAATTATCCCTTAATGATAACTTTAGTGATTGTGCATTCACGCATGCTCCTCAATGATTTTCAGCTAACATTGCGTTACAGCCTTGTAGCAACAGCAATTACAACGTTACTAAACTTCGATACAAAACTATTACAGCTGCTTACAAAATGGTTACAACATCATTACAATTGACTACAAAATGATTACAACGTTATTACAAATATTTAGAACAGTCCTACAATTGAATATTAAATCATCAGAAATATGGTTAGGCATGGTACAGATATATTCCGCTGTTTTATCTTATAGTGGATGACAACGTGGACATGATAAAACCTGATTATTAATAATGATAAGGTGATGAGAAATTGTTATCATCGAAATGGTGATGTTGGTGGCAATGACGCAATGATGGCGTCGTTGATGAGGTTGTTTATAAAGCGAAATTATCATCATCTAGTGGTCATATCAACAGGTAGTCTGTTGTTTTCTAAAAAATACATTTCACTCCATGTGCCTTCCAGGTCTTTCACATGTTTTAAAAAAAATTGTGTCGTTGTGGAGAAGTTTGTGTGTTATCAAGAAGTTTGCGTTTTCAAAACACCCTTGAAGCTTATATCATATTTGTAAAAGATATCTTGTTTCTAGAGGAATGTTCAATGGCTTTTTGATATTTTAAACGTTAATATAATCATCTACAAAATTTTTTTGTAAAAAAAGGTGAATTAGAAATATAATTTTAAAATTATAACAGAAGTTATGTTATGAAGGAAGAGTCAGATAGATGGTTTGAAATATTTAGAATCACAAGTTGTGTTGCTGGTCTATTAAAGGATTGCGAGACATAGGCTACGTGTGTATGTGTACTTGATGGTTCTTGCATAATCTTCACCGCATTAAACTGTGCTTGCATTTACGTACTTATTATGTATTTGAACTGTGTAGGCGCAAATTATTTTGAACGTTGTGTGTTGATTGCAAATGGCACAGTGTAAGCAATTCTGAACACTTGAATGATATCTTGGCTCCCGTTTCAAGGTTGGTGGACGAGGTAACAATAAAATGTAAATTCGAATGGATCTTCAAAAATGTTTCATGGGAACGTAAATATTGTTTATTTTGATGAAATATCATAAGATAAATGTTTAAAAAATGATTGATTTTTATTTATACTTAGCAGAAATTAGAATAAATTTTTCTCATGTTTGCGCATATCCGGTTTTTTGGCACGCTGCTATTCAACGAATGACGTAAACATTCGACTCGAATTTTTATAAAACATTGCTGCCAAAAAGATTAAAAATTTATGTCAATAAAAAAATAATCAATTAGATTTTCATAGCAGTGAAGGTAGACATGTCACATTTCATTTGTACCGCCCATCTCCTCATCTGTCAACGAACGAGTATTTAATGTAATGCTACAAAGTGAACTTTTGAGAGGAAAAAAACTTTCGTTTAAGAAGATTGCTCAACTGCTTGTTACATCGAGGTAGAGGTACGTTTTATTAAAAGTCTGAGTTTCATTGATTATTTTCAGCAATAATTTGATACTGTATATGATTTTCACAGTCAATTTTATGTCGTGAAACGATTTTTTCAATTAGATAAAAATTGAAGGAAAATAGGAGGAAATTAGAATTTTCCATCTGGAAGGAAGTGGAATTTTTGAATAAGCGGCATGGCAGACTGGAAGAAAATAAAAAGTTTCCATAGGAATGTACAAAAATGTAAGTGGTCGTTCACATGCACCTCTAGAGTCTTCAATCACGAACACAACAGAGTGCCATGCAGGATCGGATATCTCAAACTTCCACTTCATCCGCCCTACATCTGCTTTCGAGTTAATGTTCTCAACGTTTGTCATGTTAAAAGTTGAATCGTATGTAGCTACGTTTTCAACCACACACAATAAAATGCATGGGAAGGGCGATTGGAATGACAAAATTTCAAATAAATCATTCCCCATATTCAAAAACAAGCAGATCAATTATTTCCTAATGACATTGCTAATAAAAACATTTCGGAGATAAACTGAAATTTGTGAAAAACTAAAATTTTACGACTAAAATTATTTTTGGAGTTTATTAAAAACAATTTAAAAATAGATGGAAAATTGTACATACATACATACATACATGCATGCATATATGTGGACATACTTTTTAATATGTACAAGTTACTAAGTACTACAAAATAGTAATGTACGTAGACACACTGCGTGTACACATTTTAATGCATGTGTGATTACATGTGCAAGCATGCATTGTGCATTGTTATGTATGTTGCAATACATCGCTCTCTTTCTAAGTGCACATAGATATGCATTGTTATGTTGTATACGTCTATATAAATCTATATATATATATATATATATATATATATATATATATATATATATATATATATATATATATATAGTATATATAACATATAAATACAATTGTGTATTTTATCGTGTTTTGTCTATATGTGTATTGTGTGTATAATTGTGTATTTGTGTATATGTGCATTTTCATGCTGTAATATATAATATATATATAATATTTCAATCATATCTATTTCAAATTTAATGTTTCATTATCGTTAATTTTTCTATGGAAAAATTTAATACTATTTTTTATATAGAAGGCAATTCCTCCTCCTATCTTTGACGTTCTACTTACAGCTAGTATATTATAGTCTGGGATTGAGGCAAATGTTGCATTTTCAGGTTTAAGCCATGTTTCGGTGAAAGAAATTATAAAAAAATTTAATTTAATTTCATCTATTAATGTTAAAATATTATCTAGTTTATTAATTATGCTTTTACAATTGAAATTGAGTATATTAATGTTTTTGTATGAGATTGAATTACTTAGTTTTTTCGTTTTTTCAGGTGTGTATAGCATACATTTTTCTAAAGAATTGATAAAGGTGTATAAAAGGGTATCGATTGCTAAGTTGTCATCCTGCATTAAGTCATGAAGATATGAATCAACATAATGTTGATGTGTTGTATACAATGTGTATGATGTATATTATGATGTACGTCGAAAGGCGCACATACATAGTGATGTATAAAGGCGTCGTATGCGTCTGCTCAACCCTTCTGGGCATTTCTTGTCAAATGGTTCGATTGTTGGCACCGTGCCTCCATTTATCGTTTCGTAATGTCTTCTCTTCATTTCATAATTTGCTGCCTTCGCTTTTTAGCTGCCGGTCTGCTTGTGTCTGCTTGTGTGTGTTTCACATGCGAGTCTTTGTGTGGTTGTTTGTGATTATGTGTGGCTTGTGTCGTGGTGTGTGAATCATTTTATTGTGATGTTGGTACACGCTGTGAAAGTTAAAAGTAAATTTTGTTACTAAAAATCACGTTCATCAGAGATCATCTACTTCAACAACATTTCTATCCTATTTAAAACAACCAAGCTAAGTTTCACCAACAACCGTTTTCATTATGTTAGCATTGAAATGATTTTGAGGTTGTTAAATGGAAAATTGAAAAGTTGGAAACAACAAATGTGCAACATCTCAAGGCGATTGTAGTTTACATGTTGTTAACTTTTGAAGTTGATGAGTTCATTGTCATTCAAGGGAGGTTCAACTTTTTGGCTTGGCACAGATTATTAAACCTTTTGCATTATGTAGTATGTTCTTATGGGCTGTCTCAATATTATTGTTAGTATTATTATTATTGTTGTTATTATATTTTATGTTTTAATATTTATAGATAAGTACTACTACTGTAATTTTCCAGCCTGTTGAATTGTCGTTTATAACGTTATTTTTTATAGCCGAACGTTACAATTTCAGCATCGCCACATCTGACTTTTTCAAATATCATAATTTGTAAAAATGTACTTCGTGATAGTTCGTCCTGTGTTTTCTCTTATTAAAAAATTGTTTCGAATGTAATTCATCATTCATTGTCGGTTTTAAACATAGTTCAACATCAGTAAAATTGTTGGCTCTCCTCATCCTGGCTCTCCGTGCAGACGCGCAATTACAAACAATTCAGCTGGGTGTCATGCTTTTAAATTTTTTCTGCAACCATTTTAGGAATGTTAGAATTGTTGAATTTATAATGCTTATTCTACTTTAATGACTTTCTGTTTTTTATATCATGATAGTTGAATTTGTACTATCGTGATAGTTGAATTTGTACCATCATGGTAGTTGAATTTGTACCATCATGATAGTTGAATTTGTACCATCGTGATAGCTGAATTTGTTTTACCAATGATAGTTGAAGTTAGTGACGATAACAGCATTTCCAATTTTGTTTGGAACCTAATAACATAAATGTATTTTTTTCAAAACCACTTGATCATTTCACCATAACTATTCACGCATTGTTTATAAGATTGGTGTGGAGATGGAAACATCTGGAACGACTGTGATTGCTATTAGAGGGAAGTGTGCTTTGGTTCTAAGGAAGAGTTTTTGTCATTAGTTGGTTTTTCCCCTAAGTGTGTTCAACACATTGGCCTGCCAGCAGCCAGCTCAAATGTTGAATCTCCTTGTTGCTCCAACACTCTAAACAAATGTCGAAATTAATTGGTAATATTTTAGATTTTTTTATAAAGAATGATTGGTCCAAAAAGAAAAATTTACAACAAATTTAAAAATAAATTAATTCAAAAAAGATAATCAAATCTCGTTTTAGGCCAAAAAAGAGTGCATCACGTGTTTGACAGATGGCAATGAAGCGAAGAGAGTTGTCGTGAATCTGTCGCTTATATTGAAATCCATGAAATGATGAAGAAACATGATAATGTTGTTGCTGGTGATATGAAGTTGAAGTGCCGATACGAAGGGATGGGAAGTTGCAATATTGCTTGTGCTGTTAAGTTGACATTTTAGAGTGGCATTAAATTTTCTAGATTATTCTAAACTGCTGCTCTAGAATGTTACGTGCCATTAATTCACGCGTTTGCAGTAATGCTCATGACACTCTTTATCGTCCAGGCCTTGTTTATTCGGACTGTTAATTCATACTGAATGTTTGCTATGCAGTTCATTCATTCATGCTCCGGTCCTCCACTCTATGTTGGATATGAAACGAGAGAGAGAGAGAAAGAGTGGGGAAAAAGAAAGAAAGAGATAGAGAGAGCACAAGATGACATTGGTATGCAGCCACCAATGTATATTTCTTTCTACTACATTTCCCATAACCACACTTTTGATGTATTTGTTGTTCTGCATTGTTTTCATGTGACTCTGTATTGTTGTCTTGTCATGCTTTTGTAGTCTCACTTTTTGAGAGTGTTGCTTTTTTGTTGTTCCAATCTTGTTCTTGTAACAGAAATAATTTTCAATATTATATTTCTATGTTGTTTTTGTGATATTTATTGCATTGTTGCTTTTAATTTTTGAATAGAGGTAGTTGTGTAAATGGACCGCTTCAACATAGACCGCCTCAATATAGATTTGCAAGCCGATATCATAATTCTTCCTCTTTCATTATGCATGATTTTGTATTGTACATTTTGTGCTCTGGATTCGTAAACAACTCCATAATTTTATATACTTTTTTACATGCCTTGTTCATTGTTTAGTCTCAATCTTTAAGGAGAAAACAAAATTGTACTTCTTGTTGCTAAAGGCATAAAATAAAAACATATAAATAAAAGTTTAGTTTAATGAATTGTTCAAACTGTTTTCTTTATAGTAAATTATTTCACAGCATTCAAAACAACAATAATAACAACTAAAGGACAGCATCACATTCAATTTATTTTATTTTGTTTAAATGTTTGTTCTTAAATTCTGAATAAATAAATGCACATAACCAGAAATAAATGAATTGGACCTATTTTAAATGTGATTATTCATTATGAACGGAAACACCTTCATTGAAGAAAATAATAGCTCTGAATGCATCACGTCTGTTCTAACATTTCAACTTGCTAAAATAATCAAGAAAATAAATAATAAAATCAATAATAAATTAAAAAAAAATCAAAACTAACTGTTGGGCAACATCTCACATTTGATTTTTGCTTATTTTAATTTAAAGTTAAACTATTTGTAAAGTAAAACTTGGGAAACATCGTGAAAACGAAAATAAGGTTCATCTCGATATTGTCTCACCTTTCATCGACTTAATAGAACTTCGTTTCACGCAGTGCAAACTGCCATTGCCCTGAAACTGTGCAAACGATTTAACAAATAATAATAATGATTTGTATTTCTATGCTTATACTTTTAAAAATATGTTTAAACTTATGAATGCGTTCTGCAAGAAGTTGCTTGGATTTGATTTTTATTAACAAACAGCACAATGTATACTAAATTAAATTTCAAGTTTATTTTAAAAATTGAAATAAAATAAAATATTTTTAAAAGAATGAAGTGGAAAAAGAAGACACGTTGTGCTGAAACTAGCTGACATGTGCATCACACACACATACACACACATATCGACACACACACATACGCACAGTTGTTTTTGTACAAAAGGTTCTATTTTTATATACATACATACATACATATTGCAACCTCACACATAAACTGTAATACAGACTTTTAAATCTTTAATGTCATTTTAACCAAATGAATCTCATTTGTTTTAAAAAATATCTGTACGCCAAAACAGAAATATCCTATAAAACATTTGAACATGGTGCGCTGCTCATAACAGATAATTTAAACATTGCAATCGTTTTTCATATTTAATTTTAATACGATTTGCAAAAATTTAAATATCTTCAAAAACAAAATTGCATAACGGAACACCAAACACGCAACTATTATTTTTTTTTTCAAAAAAAAATTATATTATTATGCAAAAATTTCGAAGCATATCGAACGATGAACAAAATTTCTAGAAAGCAATAAAACAATATTAAGAAATACATGGGAGCGTGTCATCGAAGCTTCCACTTTCCAACCATG